GTAACTCTAAACTCTGGTTAATGGCTACTGAACCTCATTTCATTTCGTTTATGTATAAACTTGTCTCCACTAAAAGATAGTCACCCCCAATGTAGGTCTTTCAGTGACAGTTAGCGGTCAGCGGAGTACCACGTGCCTATCACGTGACTCAAATAGAGACTCTCTATAACCTGCCCTGTTACCACCTATTTGTCATTGTCCTTCTACCCGTACAGTAATATTATACAGGTCCCATAGGCAATATACACTGGGAGGGATATTTAGACATAAACTGTGCTGTATTAGTCTGCCATATTGCTAGCCACTACATAGCTATTTACAAACTGATTACTGAAGTTTAGGTCTTGTTTCCCAGCGTGTTCCTCTGGTACTCACACTCACACTCATACATTCATACACTCATTCACCCATACACTCAGACATAATTATGACAACATGACCATCATTAATGATGTTAATAATTCCCCTCTTATTACGGCATCATTACATTCAATAACATTCCTTCGTTACACACGAAGATACGGTAGAAATTCATTGAGGAATTTTTATCATGCTAAGTATTTGTGTAACATACCATATTTTTAACTAAGTTTCCTTTATAATGAAAGTCCTTGTCTGCTTAATTAATGTGCGTAATTTACAACTTGCATAGTTAATGATCATACATAATATGTCTTAAAAGTTGCAATATAGATAAGTCCTAGAAATACGATCTCTCAAGCTGTTAAAAACTGTAGCTCCGTTCAGGTGTTAACCCGTAACACGATACTTTATTTATAATTTAGAGTTTTATTATAACTGAGGAGTAACGACTAAATACTGTTAAAACCGAGTTACATGTGTAATTAATTAAGTAATTAATTAAGTAATTACGTGAGAATGAATAATATAGAGTGTAATATAGAGTGTTATAGTGTGTTCGCTCTATCACATACTGTTGTCGTGACAACATGCGCATTTTACACATAACACGCATATTTCTAGTTCCTTTCAAATTAGGTGCCATAATTTGCTGGGCTTTGGGAAAAGAAAGCTTTAAGAATGTTTTGATATTCTGAGGATATTGTTCAACGTTAGAAGCTGTGGCCTGTGTACACACTCACATGCTGGAACGAACCTACAGTAAATAAAAGTGGTCTGAATATAAAATATTTAGAAAATGTGATCCTTGATATGGGACTCCTCAGCAAGGAAGCTTCACTTTTCTCCTACATTCGCAACAATTCTAGACAGCTCAATTACATTTTTCAATGATGAGCGGTTATTCTTTTGAAGCCATTTTGAATTTTCTAGCTGCTTAATAAAACTAAAAAACTCAAAAATGACGTACACTTTCTCCTGAATTTTTCAAATTCCTTTAATCTATTGCTGACTACAGTTAATACCGCCCTATAAGAACCGCACAACTTCTAACCCAAACGAATCTGTAAAGTCTTGGAACAACCCCAAACTCTTACCTCCAATCTCAAAGGTTTTTCCACCCTGGTTACTCGCCAAATCTACAAAATTCCTTATAAGCCAACAACTAACAGAAAAACAAAAGTATTATTGGCACGGTACCTATCCAGTTAAAACACTGAAGTCTAATTCATCGGGCTGCTGTTGACAGATCTGCTCATTACATGGGCTGTCATTTAGGAGGCTTTGTTCAGTGTATTATGTTATTATTATTATTATAACCCTAGAGATATGAAGTAGGGGTCAGACTGCTTGGAATGGTACTGAAGGGGTTGCAACTCTTGTTAAACACAGGGTAATATCGTGGAATGTTAACTCTGGGGGCCAGAGTAAGAGTCCAGAACACGTGTGTTCTAACATGGATGTTACTGGTTTTCCCAATCATATATTACAGTAAAATTCTGCTTACTTGTACCTGCCCTAACCAGTCCGACCAGACTAAACATTTTTTGTCGCCATTTAATTTTATTCAAATTTCCATGTTTTAAATTTATGTATTATTTGATGAAAGTTTCCAATCGAATCATACGTGATAATATTCAAGGTAATTATTTTTTTACGATGGAATGTTAAGCCGCAAATACGTGTTACGAATCAGATTTTAATTATTATAGAAAGTAATTATTTGTTTACTATTAGTGATATCAACATCAAGTCATCCTGAATGCAACCTTACATTTCAGGTTACCTTATATTATAAATTAACTGTACTAAGGGAACATGCTATCACATTGTCTAAGGAAGTAAGGTCATTCTATGAGAAAACTCAGAAAATAAGGAAGTAGTAAACTTCTACTCGGTCTGAAGCAGTTACGTCTACTTTACATTTCTTCTATTATATATTCATGATTTATACTAGAGTAATGCAGGTGTAGATGTAATGACGGCACTTCAGGAATGTTGTAGTACCCAGAGTTAGACAGAGTTGTTGTTAAATATTATTAAATATTTGTTGCAACGTTAAAAACTACGGTTCTCCTAGAAATTTGTTCAGTTGGGTCAACGTTTTCTTAGTCGCGATGTCTGGTGTAAATTTGTTTTTTACCTTTGTCAAACATCGAAGTGGCGAGGAACTGCTGTTGAATTGGTGTTGAAGTAAACTTGCCGCTTTGTTGAAGTAATGTCGAACTGTTAAAGTAATGTCGAACTGTTAAAGTGATGTCGAACTGTTGAAGTGATGTTGAAATAGTGCTGAAATAATGTTGAATGTTCAACACTGATAGTCAGATCTGTTAAAATCCCACTGTCTACTCGTCAGACCTGATGAAAGAAACATGTGTTAATTGCTGTACCACTGTACAACCCCCAGTAATATCTATACAAATCAACAGCTGGTTTACTACTAATAGCTCTTTAGTCCATATAAACTAGGTTATGTGCCAGATTGTGGAGTTGATGAGTGATGATTGAAATGATATTTCCCTAGTGAAGGGGTTATGTTGTAGAATTATTTCATCTCTCTTTTGTTTTCTTGTTGTGGGGTTGTCTCTAAGCTTTTCTGTACATTTAGTACTTAATCCAAATTCTAGTCATAAGTTTTTTCCGTGATCCAAATCTCCATTGATCATATTTGCAGTCTTGATTTATGTGCTGACAAAGTATTTAAATAATGCCACAAAAAGTTCATTATAAAGTATAATAATCTATCTGCACATGAAGCTACTAAGTGCTGGAATGTTCACTAAATACCAATAAAGATATTCATGCTAAGTACCAAGATAAGAGTTATGTCATGCTGCCAGATCACCATTACATAGCAACATATAATCTACTCTTAGATTATATCTAAAATTTTCTCTTTCGTGAAATCAGCAAATATCTTACATTTTTGCCAGCTGCTATGGTTAACAGTATGATTTGACTCGCAAAATAACATTTTCTCAACTCATACTGTAGAATTTCGTCACTATTTACTAAAGTAAAAATCCGCTATTACGGCTTTTCTCTCTACTGAAATTTCTAAATAATTCCCATCAGCTGTTGCCTGTTAAAGGTAGAAAATGGACCCTTGGTAACCAAAAATACAGGTGTTTTAATTTCAAAGGTTTTAACCAGGGGTGGTTGTCTAACACGCCCTTAATATTACAGTGGGCTATTCTGGTGTTTGAGTAGATGTGACCTTCAAATCATCATTATTTGAGTTTTTCAGGCGTTACCTGGTACTTCTGGCGCCTATGATTAAACTGTCTACATGTCATATTGTCATAGTTCTAGTAGTTCTTAAAGATACTAGAACTATGACGTCATAGTTCTAGTATTTCTGCAAAATTCCGTATTTTGTATTTCTATTTGTACCCATGAATCATGATTATAGATTGAGACCAAATCACCATTTAGTTCTTTTGTACACACGATATTCTATCTGTAGGAGGATTATTTAAAACATGATAGTGATACGAAATGTTTGTTCAGCAGGAGCTTTTCAAAATATATGTGTAAATCTATATGAGCAGTTGCAATTGCTCCGAACATTTCTTTAGAAAGTTCTTCATGTGTTGAGTGTTCTAGCGAAAATTCTGAGGACAAGTTTGGCTTAATAGTTCTGTTATGTGTAGTTGTTATTGTGTAAATATTTGAAGACGGTAATCGGTATTTGAAATAGATGCTGCCTGATGGACGCAGAAAGAGCGGGAAAATATCGGTTTCTGTACAATTACCATACTATATCATATTGCGCTAAATTATTCACGTGACATACTTTTCGCATGCATCGTGATTATTTTTGCACCAAATATCAAGGAATGCTAATTTTATCGATCCAGGATTCCTAAAATCTCATTCTATTTTTCCCGCCTAGTAAATAATTTTAGCATACGTTATAAAACTATGGCCAGACTGTCTTTTTACCGTTTCATTACTGTTTATGATAATCATGTCTTAACTGTTAATATTTTAATAAGAATACTATTTTCCAACAATCTAACTCCTCATTTCTGGTTCGTAATTGGCAGTGCTGCGAATCCACTTTGTTACAATTTTAAAGTTCCGAAATCTTTTTACTACTTACTATTCCATTCGTTTTCGTTGGATAAACAAGAATTAAATTTAATAAATGAACGCTAGATAAACTTTTGCTTGATAAACATGCATGTTCTCACTCCATATAGACATAATCGCTTTTTTGTCGGATGCTTTTTCTAAGAAATAAGAATGTTTGACGTTTGTTAAGGACTAGGAATACGAATAAATTATGTTTCTAAGGCGAGTTTGTTAAATGGGACGATATTAATAGCATCATCTCAGGTCATTGCTCGATTTTCGAGTTTCAGGTACGATCGTGAAACTCAACTTTCCCTCCATAACTTAGTGTACCTAGGATATACATTGCGATTGTGGAACGCGCGCCGTCCTTTTTGTAACACAGGCACACAACAGGGCATAAACCTAACGCGCGCGTAGTATTTGTGTGTCATGCGCGTTGAAAACATGTTCCAAATTTAGACCGAGTATTTGTATTTTGAAAAACAAATGAATCAACTCCTGGCACTTGCCTCCTTCGATTATCTTGTATCATATTATTCTGACAGTGACTGAACTTTCAGACAGGCATGGATTTGAACTAGAAACTAACAAGAGGTTGTGGATATTAGTCGCAGACAACCAGCACGACATGGACAGGTGGCTATCTTGTCTTACCAGTATTCTGGGGGAGTCCAAACGGAGGCCTATCGTTGGTGGGTAGAAATTTGCTATTTTTAAAACTTAACAATTTACATTTTTGTTACCCTATTTAGTTTTCATCCTACTGATTACTGATGATCAATGATAAATCTTTGAAGAGTAACGGTTAAGTGATTGCAGATTGGAATTTTTCAAAATCGATAAAAAATAAATCCTGTCAACTGGTCACATCTAATAATATTGTAAAATTAACCTATTATATTAATATTTTAAAATTAACCTATTCGCAGCATCGCCCACTGGTTCTCCTAAGCGCAGTAAAAGCATGCTAAAGAAGGTCGGAATACAAATCAGTAAAATGGGCCCGTCTCCAGGTTCCACCCTCAAGAAATTCGAATCAATCGCTGAAGATTCTAGCTCTTCTAGTCATGTGAGTAAACATTAAAGCCAGTTAGGATCTACTTGATCAATAACATTAATTAATTAGCTCACAGATTGCTAATGATTTAGTATATTGATTGGAGTTTAGGCCTTAAGGGCAAGGGTTCACCCTGATTTTTTTGTGAAACTTGGTTTCGAGATAGCAGTTGACCAACAAACTAGGACCAGTGACCGAACTTTTGAGGGGGTCCCGGACCCTAACCGCCAAACGGTGCCCGCGGGGCAGCCACGCCCATATTTGGTCCAAATTAGGCCCAATTTAGCCAAATACCCTGAACATGCCCAAAATCCAGATTTTAGGTGTTCTACTTGTAGCTAGTGGTTTCCTGAACTCGTATATGAATTTTCATCAAGATTGTACAAAAAATGACTGAGTTATGAGCAAAAAACCATATGACCATATTTGGGCATACGCACCAAATTTGATCGATTTTGGCCCATAAATTGGTCAAATATCAATATTTTTGAATGAAACCAACTTTATATGGAAGGTAAGCTTATACTACACATTATTTATGATTATCAGCTCTGTATCTACCTAACTGTGGATTCTGTGTTCAAATAATCGCAAAAAATGAACAAAATTGCCCATATCTCAGTTCGCGATATTTGCAAAACTGACTTCGCTCAAAACAATAGAACTCAATAGGGTTCAATATTTTTTCATGAAATTTTCAGAATCAACGTAGAATTGTCTCATGACCTTAAGTTTTGGGACAGAATTTTGAGTTAGGCCTTTAAAAAAATTTGGCGGCCAAATTCTAAATTTAGCAGTGCAAATTTTGGAATTTGGCCGCCAAATTTTTTAAAAGGCCTAACTCAAAATTCTGTCCCAAAACTTAAGGTCATGAGACAATTCTACGTTGATTCTGAAAATTTCATGAAAAAATATTGAAACCCTATTGAGTTCTATTGTTTTGAGCGAAGTCAGTTTTGCAAATATCGCGAACTGAGATATGGGCAATTTTGTTCATTTTTTGCGATTATTTGAACACAGAATCCACAGTTAGGTAGATACAGAGCTGATAATCATAGATAATGTGTAGTATAGGCTTACCTTCCATATAAAGTTGGTTTCATTCAAAACATTGATATTTGACCAATTTATGGGCCAAAATCGATCAAATTTGGTGTGTATGCCCAAATATGGTCATATGGTTTTTTGCTCATAACTCAGTCATTTTTTGTACAATCTTGATGAAAATTCATATACGAGTTCAGGAAACCACTAGCTACAAGTAGAGCACCTAAAATCTGGATTTTGGGCATGTTCAGGGTATTTGGCTAAATTGGGCCTAATTTGGACCAAATATGGGCGTGGCTGCCCCGCGGGCACCGTTTGGCGGTTGGGGTCCGGGACCCCCTCAAAAGTTCGGTCACTGGTCCTAGTTAGTTGGTTAACTGCTATCTCGAAACCAAGTTTCACAAAAAAATCAGGGTGAACCCCCCCCCCCCCCCTTAAAGTCATGGTTTAGGGCCTTCATGTAACATATTTCAGTTAAAACACAGCGACTCATCATACTTTAGTCAAGATGATCCCCTCAGGGTAATTACGCTAATTGGCTTACTTTACGCTAATTGGCTAACTTGGCTTTTTGCTCTGAAAATTTTACTTTTTGCTCTGAAAATACTTTTTTCTCTGAAAAGACTTCTATGTCCGTTTCATAACATTAAAAAATATCCTATTTGGATATATATACCTTTTTTACATTATCGCTTTTAATACCCGCTGTGCTGTTCTATCTGCAATCATTTAAAATCGTATCTTTTCAGCCGCTACTACTTATATTGGTAACCTCTTTAAAATGTTTACAATGAGCACTAAGCAGCTGTTTGTTGGGCTATATTCTAATATATTGAAGTGAATGTGCTCTGTGAAAACCACACATGTTTGCAGTGGTGTATTCTAATAGTTCTACTACACTGTGCTCTGTAAAACCAAAGTCAAAGAACTCAGCCATTATCCCCAATAGAGCTTTTTTGTTGAAGTGCTTAAAAGCAATCTTGCATCATTTAATCTAAGTATTATAGTCATTGCTACGTATTGTAAGAAGTAATGTGTCAGTTTTTACGAGTCTTAATGCTTTAGTGCTTTACCGAGTTTTCTTTTGCGATTTAACCTATCGTTAACCTATCGCTTTGATTATGAAGCCAACTGTAAGTCTATGTCATGATGTGTGATTTTCCATGTTGTAAAATTAAAATGGTCAATAATCATAAGATTGTACTAGCATAGAATTACAGAATATGAGTTCAACGAACATACAAAAATATAATGAATTAATATTTAAAAGAACCGAAGTCTGAACATGTACATGTATTAATTATTAATTAAATAATTAGTTAATGAACATGTATTAATTAACTGTGTGCAGGGTGACGATGTCTCCGCATTTGATGAGGATTTGGAAGAAACGTTTGTCAGTTCCAAATCAGTCTCTTCCCACATGTCGAGTGTGGACAGGTATTACTTATTAATATTAACATTACTTATTACTATAATGTAGATCTGCAGTTCCACTAACCTATTTCGTATTTATAAATGAATTTTAAATGTTCCCTACCTTGCAAAGTTCATCCTTATCTTTACCTTTCACTTAAACTACACAACCCTGCTAAAGTAAATTCCGTGCCCAGATGTATTGATTCCCAATTCCCATGCTACAGTAACAGTAATCAATCTCATTTCAGTGCTATAGAAATGGGATCAGAAAGATCAAGTAAAATACGTCTAACAGATAGTCTACCCAAAGCAGAGCTGCCCCTACTGGACGAGGTAAGTTTAACTTATTAAATTCCATGTCATCTATAAGTTAACAGTTATTTTAAATAAGCTTTAAAAGTGTTTTGAGCGAAATCTCTGTAACAATTAGCTCCAACAGTCCTTGATTTGAGTTCAGGGACACCCTTTGGTAAGAAAGGAGTGCTGAAAACCTTATCACGTGACAAGGAATACTCTGGTAGTTCCATCAGCTGGGTCGGGGGACAATCCATGAAAACAGCTAATTGTTCCCTTGTGATGTTCAAACTCTTGCTGGATCTCACGCAGTGGGGCGTGGCTCTCAAGAGACCTCCGCTTAGGATCTGGAAGAATTCTCCCAGCTGAATTGCAAGGCAGTCTACTGGAATGTCCACTTTGTTGATCGACCCATTTCTGGGAGATTTCACGTAGAGACCGCATTCCTCTGGTTTAGGTAGAGTGTTGCCATCCAGGTCAAGGTAAAGAGGTGAGAGGAGACACGTGATACATCCGTGATCCAGGTGCCACCCACACAACCCATCTTGTGAGGAATTCAGCTCCGGTTCTACTGGGAAATAATGCAGCATTCTTCCTTTGTAGGCCACTGAATCTTTCACCATATCATAGAACCGGTCCAGTTCGTGTGTGCCTTGTGTTTTTTGGTGCAAATACCGATCAAACAGTCTACAAACATGGTGTCCCAGATCAATCTGCACTTTGGACATGTCCTTGAAAGCTAGCTCCAATTCCGGACATTCCGTCTTCGGCCATACATTGTCTAAATAAGTCGCAGGAAAGTTAGCTTTCAGTTCCTCATCCTCAGTAATAACGTCCGCATGGGGTCGTGCGTAGTAAGACCCCTTAGCAACGTCCGGAATTCCGTTCTTCATCTTCTCCTTGCCATGACTCCAACCAACACTGTAATGAGACTGAGGGATCGCATATTTTTCCTTCGTGTCATCCGGGAGGAGAGCGAACTGCCTGATTGCTCTTAAAACTGCTTCTCTTTTCTCCTGGAATTCAGGATAGTCCTTTACCAGGATCAAACCAAGTCCGTTAAATCCAAATGCTTCCCCAATTTCCGTGCTAAGGTCTTTTCCAGATTTCAGGTCATTGAATGATATTGTTACCGCTGCTACTGATTCAGACTGTTCTTCGGTGGAGCAGGACATTTTACTGGTGACCTGAAGAGTTAAAATGGATCAAAACTTTTATATTTATAACAGAACCTGTAATAGCAGTAAAACACTGTAAACACTGTAAAAAAACAAATTGTGTGTTATGTAGTGTTGTTAGTATACAAGTTACCCCTGAGTAGTGAGTACAGAAAAAGCTGCAAAATAACCGTTTAATTACAATAACAAACACAAAGTATGAAGACAGGCGATACTGCTTGGTTATATCTCCTGTCTAGGAGATCCTATCTCCTAATTTGAGACAACAACACTAAACAATTTCGGGACCGATTTCTAGAACTTGTGTGGTAACGATCCGGCCTCGATCGTCGTGCAAGATCATTACAACTTTAACTGAGAAAACTAACTTATAATAGGAGAGATCAAGACATTCTTCAGCAGAATTTAATTATTGAGCGAATCCTCACATAGTAACTAGATCATAAGATCATAGCACTATATAATATAATAAACCCAGGTCATATTACACACTACAAGTATACTTAATACGATAACTGAACCCACATTTTTGTAGATCAGATTTTCAGTTTAGGTTGAGGGCCTGTTTAATTGTCAAGTTATCTCTAAATTTCTATCGCCGGTTGCATTCAGTTGTCATTTAAAAGTTAACTAAGTATAAGTAGAATGATTGGGTTTATAATTATTTTCCCGAGCTAGTCTAGGAAAAAGAAATGTAATATACAATAATACTAATATACATGGTTAATATATCTGAAATCCTACATAGTACAGTCAAATCCGTCCTTATTTAAGCCTTTGTCGGACAAAATTCGCATAATTTGCAATTAAAGACTAACCATTCCAATACAAATCAGAACAAACTATAAGAAACTTATACATTAACTGAACTCTCGTACATTCAGGTGTTGACAAAACTCTATACATTCGGCACAATATACGCACTACACAATGGCTCAAATTTAGATCATCGAAGCTTTGCACATACATAACAAGCAATAATTGATAATTTCTAATTGTAATTGATAATTATATAAACGTGACAATTACTCGATGGTTGCTTGTTAACAAACAAAATGGTAATCCTCGGGGTGTTTTTATTAACAAGCAATTCTTGAACATTGATAAACATCATAGCGGTGTTTGCTGAAGTTGCGCTATTGCCAATTAGTGTATATATAAATATGTGTTGTTGATTTTTATACCGACAGATTTTCTGGCATCTTGACAACTTTACAAAACAGTGGCAACATATTATAAGTGCGATTTAAGTGCCGGGTCCTTAACTTCGGATTTGAAGGTATGATAGCAGGTGCGGGACCATGTTATTACCAAGTTAAATAAAAAACCGGATTTTGTATTCATTAAACATTTCCATCAAGATCCGGCAGCCTGCAATTTCCTCTTTTTAACAATTAACACCTAATTCCAATCCTGCTTCAAAAATTCAAAATGGCACCGCCCATTAACAAATGGTTTAAGTTAAACTTACCTGTTTTCATGAAACTATGTACTAAGTTGACTCTCACTGAAAAGCCTTGAAGTTGGTCTCGTCACCTACTATACCTGCCTATGATTGAAGGAGTTTATCCGTGTCCCGTCTAAAATGTGTTATAAAATCCGGCGAAGAGCGGCCACGCAGCTCTTATCGGTGTCTGTCAGTGGCTTATAAACCTACGGGTATGTCACGTGATAGCTCTGCGTGGTCTTGTTAGTGAAATACAAGTTAGCCGATGTTGTGCTCCGTATGAATAAACTATACTTATAAGAGTTAAATTAAAAAGTAGTATATTTACTCTTGAACAGAAACTTGAAATTTATTTCTTAAGTATCGGTACGTAATAAACATATGATTGATTGGGGGACTGGTCCGTAGTACCAGCCAATGTTTACTCAAAAGTAATATATAATTGAAATAAGTTAAATATTCATCCCCGAGGGGCACGCAGATTATAATTGTGATGTTATCTATTAAAACTATTCGATTAAAATTTTATTGGTCGAGTCGACTGGCCCTGATCTGCAAACATATTTGATATTGGTAACTTTATGATGCTGCCTCACCGCAATTAGGTGTGTTATCAGTGTAGATATGCGCTATGTGGCAGTGAAATAAGGAATGTGCTGTTAGAATGGCAGGTGGTTAGAAATGTTGTCCTGATTCAATTGGACATCATATCTGCGGAGAGGCTAGGTTCTAACTCTAAGGGTTGCCATGCGTTAGCGCGTAGTGGGACGTCACCAGGAGGGATGAAAAGTAGAGCTCCGATCCGTTGGAAGGATCCACACCTGATACTCCGGATACCAGGTTTCGGAGCGAGCGAAGTTCCTCCATAGAGCCTGTTTGAAGTGGGAAGTGCAAGCCACGTAGAGTAGTTCCCGGGCGGACAGCAGTGACACTGTTCCGTAGCCCAGCTTCATAATCGCAAAGGGGCGGTGTCTGGATGGGAAAAGGTCCAAAGCGATCAGTTCTTCTAGTAGGTTTGTGTAGTTGTTCCTTGCCGCCTTCCAGGGAGAAGACCAAACGCCAGAGGAGTCTGTAATTGTCTGGGGGGTTTCCTTGTACTGTTCAGGAGTTGGGTGAATTGTTTTGGTGCCACCTTTTTTTGTTTTGTGTTGCTGCGCCTGGAGGTGTTTATGTTGGTCGGAGCTTTCTGCTTCAAGATTCTGCTCTGAACCTCTGCTTTCTTAGCTAGATTTCTTTAGCTAGGCAAATTTTTGTCTTTCGCACGTCGTCTCCTGAGAAAATAAATTATTATTAATAGTCATAACATGAATCATACACTTAGAGGGGGATTTGGTCGTTGATTACGTTACCAACTTTTCTTTTTTTACCCTCTTAGAATAATAACAATTTGACAATATTTTAATTCAAATTCACTCAATTTCACTCTTGATAGTGATAAAATTTAGAAATTGATCGAATATCCGGCCTATATACAGCGGGTGGTCATTATTATGGCCCGTGTAGGACAATTTTGCGTAAAAATTTTAGCCCACCCAAGCTTTTAGAAAACGATAATTACTTGACTTCTGAGTGTCAGTTTCCTATGGAGGCTTCATGTAGCTCCAGGGCTCGACAAACCGTAAACCCGACAATATCCTTCAACAAAACCGACAGACCCGAACAAACCCCTGACAACCCAGACAAACCTGACATTATCCGACAAACCCCGACAGACCCCGACAAACCCTGACAGTCCCCGACAACCCTGACAGACCCTGACAAACCCGACAGAACCAGGGGGGGGTAGGGGGGGGGGGGGGTGGACTATCCCGACAAACCCGTCAGACCCCGACATATCCCGGACAAACCCCGACAAAACCCAGGACGTGTCGAGATGTTCGTATCATGACGGGCCCACCGGCTACATGATGCCTCTTGGAGTCTCTGATCATTCAAGAAATATCCTTCATACTACAGTTTAGGTCTAAAAAAAATGAAGTCCGAAAGAAGGTTAAAATTTTGTCGATAACACGACGCAAGAGAAAAATTTGGATTATTGGACTTGAAGCCTTCGGCTGGCTCCCTGAAATTCCGGGGTGAGTCCGCCTGACTATATTTTATTGCGTTCAGTTAGAGGAGAGAAAGAGAGCTTTTATAAAATCTATAGTTTCTATTGTTTCGCTATCGCCTGAAGAAGCTGTGCATATAGTCTAAAGAATAATTTCAGAAAAATTCACGAAAAAAGAATGGCACATAAAATCTTTACCTTCTTCCGTAAATCTAAACCAAGTATGGATCGACCCTTTAAATAACGGCCTAAATTATGGGTTTTTGTGTACCTCAACACAAGAAATTCTGAAATCAAGAAAAAAAAGTTCAGACGGATTATCTTACAGACCAGTTTTTGAAATTTGAATTTAGACTATTCTGAAGTA